GCCACATCGGATCCACTCTCCACTCGTCCTGCGCCGCGCTTCTTTATTCCATGGAGAGTATCGGCTCACATTTGTGGGATTATTCGGCCGGTTCGTTTAATATTTTTAGTCAGGGTTTATCAGATATGGTATAATATTTTTTTCACAACAAATCAGTATTAGTCGGATTTATCAGCCTAGAAACCAACCAACAAATCTACTCATCCTCTGCGATCTCTAACCCTCACAGACCCTCAGTCATCACCCAGCCCTCTGCCATTTATTTAAACAACTCCCAAAGACTGAAGCGTGCCCGTGAATGATTGATCGTTATGCTCTCTTCCTGTTGACTGAAACGATCGAGGTACATCTGGAATCGCCATGCGAGCTCCCGTCTGCTGGTCTTGGTCTGGTCGATGTGGGAGAGCTCTAGTCAATTCAATGACACGTGACAGGCAATTATGGGTACTTCAGTGAAGTCAACTATAGGCCGCCTGGCGCCATTGACTGATAAACTGCTGTGCTGTAAACCTGCTTCCTCGGCCCATAAAAGAATGCAACTATAAATAAGTTTGACAAAATTTATAGTAAATAGTATTAATGTTTATGTCTCCAATCAAATTTATTATGAAAATGTATCCTATAACAAATTCAATGATACTTATTTTATATCATGAATATTGATACATTTTTATATAAATTTAGTTAAAATTTAAACGGTTTGATTTTTCGAAAAACGAGAAATTGCATTCTTTCGTGGACCGGGCACTGGGAGAGTTGGGGGTGGTGGCTGGGGCTTAGCAGGTCGGCTGGCCGGGCCGCTACCGGGCCGCGCTCTATGGACCGGGCTGTGCCGTGCTAGCCCACGTGCCTAGGGTAAGGCCCAGGCACGGCCTGCTCCCTCGGACCGGGCCGACTTGGGCCCGTTGACCATCGGGTGCCGTGCTTGGTCCGGGCCAAAATTGCGTGCTTCATGTCGGGCCGTCGTGCCTCGGGCTGCATGGACATTTATACCCATACGGCGGCTTCGTCTTTACGTGAGCAAAACTCGGATGAAACCTATTGATGCATGGTAACTAGGGGGACAGGGGAGGAGAGATAGGATGCATGAACTTAATCCCAGAGGAGTCTGCGCCTTGTCTGCTGAACGCGCGCTCTTCTCGCGCCATGACACCCCATGTGAGCGTACGTGGTATACAGCATGACCTGCTGCCCGCGACGGGGCGTCCGTCCAGATCTACGTCGCTTTATTTGTTGACGGAGCGGGCGTCGATCGGTCTCCGTCGTCGTCGTTTCGAGCTTCAAAATTGCGCGGGCGCATCTGATCGACCAGAGCCGTTGTCGTCGGATCTACTCTCCACTACTCGTCCTGCGACGCGCTTCTTTATTCCCTCGAGTATCGGCTCGCATGTGTGGGATTATCCTCTGCGATCTCTCACCGTCACGGGCCATCAGTAATCACCCACCCTCTGCCATTTGTTTAAACCAACTCGCAAAGGCTGAAGCTTGCCCGTGAATGACTGATCCTTACGCATGCTCTTCCTGATGACTGACACGAGGTACGCGTGCTCCGGCCCGTCTGCTGGTCGATGCGCGAGAGCTCTAGTCAATGACGCGTGACAGGCAATTATGGGTGCTTTGGTGAGGGTCAACTATAGGCGCCTGGTGCAATTGACTGATCGACGTCTGCTGTGCTATCTAGTATAAACGTACGTAGCCTGTTCGCTCGTCCTCCACAGTCACACACTCGCCAGCTACTATACCCCGCGGGATAGATACGCATCTGTACGTAGCTGGGAGTCGGGGAGCTTAATTAGCTAGGCACAGGCAGGTTGCGCGCCGCTGAGGCCTGAGGGGAGGGAGAATGGCGACGGGCAGCAGACCGGCCGTCACTTACTGCGCCGCCGTGCTGCTCGCCGCGGCGCTGCTGATCTCCGCACCGGACGCCACAGGTTCGGCTCGTTCTCCTCTCCAGTCTCCCCCCTCCTCTTATTCGCTCTTGTTCTGCTCGTGCTCCGGTACTTTTCCGTTGCGTGTTGGCCAATGCAGCCACGTTTGCTTTGGTACGGTCGGTGGCGGTGCCGATAGCTCTAGTTCAGGTTCAGTCGCGTAGCGAGCTTACGGCAATAGGGAGAAGCGCACGCATGGAGCGGGCCTCCCAGACCTGCTCCAGTTCAGTCGCGTACGTACCTTACGGCAACAGGCCGGGAGAAGTGCCAGTGTGCCACTCTCTCCTGAATCATGCCGAGCTCCTTGATGAGAAATCTGTTAAAAGTGTTAATTAGTTACGATCGTTAACTGCAATAATTTAATCCAAATGGATCCGGGAGTAGTTCGAAGAAAACTGGAATTCGATTGCCGCATGGTTTGATGCCGTCAAGACCCTTACCCTCTCTTTTTTTTTTTGGGTACCAACCACTTAAATTTGGACAGTGTTTGGACTTTGGACTGTCATGCTAAAGTAGTCTTGCCAACTCACACACAGTGCAAACCTTTGGCGGCAAATAAAAGCGCTAGCCAAGACTTTGTCAAGATTCAGTCCCATCATCTGGTGTCGGTTGCGTTTTCTTTATTGGTTTGTTCAACATGCTTTAGACGACGATATTTCTTTAAACAAGACATCTAATCACCAAACCTTTTAAAATATACTCCTTGTGACTAGATCTAATATTCAAGATCCAAGTTAACTTACTTTATGCTACACTGTTACTCCATCTATTCTAAATTGTAAGTTGTTTTAAATTGTAAGTTGTTTTTAGTTTTTCTTTTCTATTTCAAATTTCTCTAATTTTAATTAGGTTTGTTGAAAATAGAACTGCTCCAATACTCCTCTGCTCAAAATTGCACAGATCTCAAAGCTGCCTATTTAATTAATAATTATTAAATGCTTCCCTAACCTTTTTTCTACCTGGGCCTCGAATGGGTCTGATCCGTCTAAACCCAACTCGTGCCCAGCCCAAATGCGGCCGTAACTTATCTCTCCTGATCCTTTTTGGGCGTGTTTGCTACCTTGGTCCTGCCCAGCCTGGCCGGTTGGCCTGGCTGTGGCCAGCTTAAGGTCCGCTCCAATGGTACAACCTCGCTTGTTTGGTTCTCATGTTCTAATTGAGCCAGGCCGAGTTGGGATTGTGTTTGGTAGGATGTAAAGAGGGATACAATCACCTTGCATCTAGAATAGGGTGATGTTACCCTCCTTCTTCTCTTGTTGGCATTCCATCGGGCACCTGCTAGGCGCCGGCTGGGACACCATGGATGGCAGCTAGGAACACGAGCAGAACTCGATCCCACGACGAAATTCAAGCCGGGAGGAAGGGGGCGATGAGCTCAGTCACATGCGAGAGGAACCTCCGGCTGCCCATGCTTCCAGGGGGTGACCTCGACCGCCCTCTCTTTCTCTCAAAGGCGACCGAGAGGAAGGGGGTAGCCGAGCACGCCGCGGTACAGTAGCAGCCGAAGGAAGGGAGAGGACGGTAATCGTATTGGTCCAGGGAGCACACGGAACGCTCGAAGGAGCCAGCCTGTGAAACAAGAGACTTTTCCTGTGTGCCATTATAAAAGATCGCAATCCCTTGTGTGTCTCTAGAAAAATTCAGCGGTCTTCAGCGCCACTATTCCAACTTTTTCGGGTCCTCCATGCCACTTCCGTCAGTTCAGGCTCTAACGCCGTCAAACTGCAGGTGTGAAAAGACGAAAATGCACTTAAGTTCAAATATGTTATTAATTTTTTTTAGCATCTTAACGACTTCAAATGAAAAAAGCTCAAAACTAGAAAGTTGTAGATCTCGTCGAGATCTATAATTTTTATATAAAAATTATTTTCATTTAATTCCGCAAAAAAATATGATTTGATATGATTAATATATCTTAGAAAAATCATCATATTTTTTTTCGGAATTAAATGAAAATAATTTTTATATGAAAATTATAGATCTCGACGAGATCTACAACTTTCTAGTTTTGAGTTTTTTCATTTGAAGTCGTTAAGATGCTCAAAAAAATTAATAACATATTTGAACTTAAGGGCATTTTCGTCTTTTCACACCTGTAGTTTGATGGCGATAGAGTCTGAACTAACAGAAGTGGCATAAAGGACTCGAAAAAGTTGAAGTAGTGACGCTGAAGACCGCTGAATTTTTCTAGAGACACAGAGGGGATTACAGTTTTTTATAATGGCACACAGGGAAAAGTCTCGTGAAACAACGAAGGGAGATTTCGTTTGTCTAGGGCCTGGCCCAAGGTGAAACACCGAAGTTCCGTGCGGCTCATACTCCTTGACTGAGCCAGCAACACCAAACACGAGCACTGCACACTAAGAGCGCAGTCAGGCCGTCGGGCCACCCTATCGAACACGCCTTTTTTGTTCCCGTCTGTGTTCCGTTTCCTCATGTGCAGGCAGCCGGCGGCGGTGCTCCATGGTCCTCGCCGAGCAGCGTCCTAACCAAATCCAAGGGTCGTGTTTAGATTCCAAGTTTTTTTATTTTTTCTTCGTCACATTAAATCTTTGAACACATGTATGGAGTATTAAATATAGATAAAAAATAATTAATTACACAGTTTGATTGTAAATTACGAGACGAATCTTTTGAGCCTAGTTAGATCATGATTGGACAATAATTATCAAATACAAATGAAAATACTACAGTGCCGAATACTGATTTCTAACCGCGAACTAAACGAGGCCTAACTTCACCTTCGGCCCTGTTTGGTGGCTTTGTAACTTTATTCACCAGTAATTAGCTTCCGACTATAATATCTTGTGCACTAGAATACAGACGTATTTTCTTTCATCGCTAAAATGTCCATTTGGGTAAATGCCTGGCCTCGGACTTCTTCCACGGAGCTTCGCACAGCCGCAGTCCATACGCCGGACAGCTCGCTCGTCATCTGCATCTCGCCTCACATGGACGGCTACGGCCATCGAGCCCTCTTGCACGCAACAAGCCAGCCATACTTTTGTCAAATCCACGCCGCCTAAATCGAGATCTGCGGCAGATCTGCGGCAAAGGATTCTGGGAACGGAGATGGCGGCGCGGCATCATTGCTTCCTGTCGTCGACAGATGACGACGGCAGCGGAGCTCTTGGCAGAGTGGCAGGCGAAGGCGAATGCAAAAGACAACATCACTACACCATCAGAGGCGGTAGGGCAGTCGATGACAGGGCCGCTTTGGCCGGACGCGAGGCAGAGGCGCAGAGCAGCGAGCTCCTGGACTTCGTCGCTCGGAACCCGAGTCGGCGAGCGCTCCACCGTGATGCGATAGTCGGGGACGGCCGCGGCTCTCTGCTCCTCATGGCGCACAGTTCAGGAACTGGAGGGAGCGGCCAGCCGGAGAAGGAGATGGCCGGCAGGCCGGGAGGTGAGGGCGTCCAGCGGCGGAGACGCGATTCGAAACCCTCGCCCGACATTCGTCGGATTAAAATTGCCCGCTGCTGTTCGGTTCAACTTATCAGCCGCCGCCTTATCATCCCGAAGTACGGTATTTTTTCTCTCGCAACAAAACAGTTTTAGTCAACTTTAATATCAGCCGAACAGATCCAATTTACTTTTTTTCCGGTTGTAACAAGCTAATACACCTGTAATTTTAGTACGCTCACAAGCCATCCAAATAATATTTTTCAATTCAACCTGTATAATTATCCGGACCTGTATTTTACAAGGGTATTTAGTCTAAAACCAGCCTTCCAAACAGACTCTTTTGTTTCGATCCTATTCGTTTGGCTGTGGCTTGTTGTAAACGATCGTAAATTTTCAGCCAGAATAATATTTTTCTCTTACACAAACCAGTCGGAAGTACTTATTCATGAACCAGCAATGATATGAACCAGCCAACCGCACGGGCTGACCACGGCAGCACCTCTATCTCCCTCCTCGATGGTCATCCACAACGGCAGTCACCTCCATCCCTGGACCGTTCTTGCTAGGAGAGGAGGTCCAACGGCACCATTGCGTCGCCGGCGCCTTTCCATTCCGTTGGCTAAATTTTTTTGTATTGAACCATTTTGCCTGGTACTGGTTGTGGCTAGCTATACATGGCCGCCGGCCTTTTTTTTTAGACTACATGGCCGCCGGCTGCCTGCGTATAAGAAACAGAAGTAGGTACGGGAACCGAATAAAGCACGAAGCGATCGGGAGAGATGAGTTAGGATTGTGTTTGGACTGGACACGAATGGTGGGAATTTTTAAGAAAATAGTTAATTAGAATGAACAGCTTTGAGATCTGTGCGATTTTTAGAAAGAGGAGTACCAGAGTAGTTCTATATAGAAAAATATAAACTTACTATCAAAATATATTACATGGTGTATCTAATAAATTTTATTTTTTATTTGATGTTATAGATTTGCGAAATTTTAAATAAACTTAGTCAAACTTAGAGAAGTTTAACTAAGACAAAGCTAAAATGGCGTACAACGGATACATATGGAGTACTAACAAATAGCATGTTGGAGTCCACATGTCATTGGGAGAACTATTTACCGCTTATCATCAATTTAATGTCAAATCAAAATTTGTGATTACAATCCAGATAGCAATCTCTTATCAAGACTTTGATCATACCTTAGAATTGTCCGTTAACAAATTTTGGTGGGGCAACTTGAACTTGGTGCTTAAAACCAAACTCATTGTGCCATTTCATTATGGTTCAAAATCTGCGATCATTCTTTGATGGGTGCCCTTTTTGTTTTATTTGCTTTGCAGAGGCTTATGATTCTCTAGATCCAGACGGCAACATCACTATAAAATGGGATATTATGCAATGGACTCCTGACGGATATGTCGTAAGTAGCACCATCAAGAGCTGTATCCCTTTCGTCTTCAAGTTCAATCTAGTAACATTGGCTAATCTTTCCAATTGAATAGGCCAGTCCTATTTGTACAGTGCAAATCATGCAGCACTACTGATTTCAGAATTAGGAACATACACGTTACATATATATAACAAGAATCATATACCATGCTTATCATTTCCTGTAAAATGTCTCATGCAGGCTGTTGTCACAATGTACAATTACCAACAATTTCGGCACATTGGGCCATCCGGATGGCGGTTTGGGTGGACATGGGCAGAGAAGGAGGTTATATGGTCAATGGTTGGGGCTCAGACCACCGAACAGGGTGACTGCTCACGTTTCAAAGGCAACATTCCCCACAGTTGCAAGAAAGATCCTGTGGTCGTTGATTTACTTCCAGGCACACCATACAACATGCAAATCGCCAATTGCTGCAAATCAGGAGTAATAAGTACATTTAGTCAGGACCCAGCAAATGCTGCTTCCTCCTTCCAGCTCAGTGTAGGTCTTGCTGGGACTACCACTAAGACTGTCAAGGTGCCGAAGAACTTCACTCTTAGGACTCCTGGCCCCGGTTACACCTGTGGGCGTGCTATTGTTGGCAAGCCTTCTAGGTTTTTCTCCGCGGATGGGCGTAGGTTTACCCAAGCTCTAAGTAAGCAGTTGCACAACGAGCCTTACATTTTGCTTGCTATCAGTTCTCTTTGATAAGGTTTGCTGAAAATAAGTTACGAGCTAAAATCATTGTATTATTCAACATGCCCCTATTTCTTAATCATGTTTTCAAAATATAAGGTTACATTACTTGTCAGTATAGTTAAAATGCAAGAGAGATTTGTTCACCTAGAATTTATTTATTGTTGTCGAGGATAAGCTACTGCTAGGTTTAATAAAATGTCGTTTGATTTCTGCAGTGACATGGAACGTGACCTGCACGTATTCCCAATTTCTTGCTCAGAAGACTCCATCCTGTTGTGTGTCTCTCTCATCGTCTTATAACGACACTATTGTGGACTGCCCAACATGCTCCTGCGGCTGCCAAAACAAAAATGAGAAGAACTGTGCGAAGTGAGTAGAAAATCCATTGATCTAGCTATATATTCTTTCCCCTGCATATATACGTTGTAATAAGCTTGGGGCATTTGATAGTAAGGGTTCGCCTCGCCTACGATCAGAGATTGATGGCCCTGGCAAATGGAGTGGCCAGCCTCTTGTGGAGTGCACTAACCACATGTGCCCCATAAAAATCAACTGGCATGTGAAGCAGAACAACAAGGACTACTGGAGAGTGAAGATCACCATCACAAACCTCAACTTCCGAATGAACTACACGGAGTGGAACCTAGTTGTTCAGCATCCAAACTTCGATAACATCACTCAGTTGTTTGGTCTCAACTACAAACCACTTACTCCATATGGGGGTGACATAAGTGAGTAAACTTTCGTCTCTTTACATATGGGGTGACATATGGGGAAATGGAGTCTCCCTCTCTCTGAATCTCTGATGTTGTTTTCTGGTCCCATTTCAGATGACACGGCAATGTTCTGGGGTGTGAAGTCCTACAACGATGTGCTGATGCAAGAGGGTAAGCTTGGGACGGTGCAATCAGAGCTCCTCCTCCGTAAAGACTCCAAGACTTTCATCTTCGAAAAGGGATGGGCCTTCCCACGCCGGGTGTACTTTAATGGTGATAACTGTGTCATGCCAGCTCCTGAAAATTACCCATCGTTGCCAATGCAAGACTAGTAAGGCTGTAACGAATGAAAGAACCGTCGATCTGGGTGATTACGATTGATTGCCATTTCCACAGAATAAATGTCACACGGGCAGCTGGCTTGGTGCTCCACTTTTGGTAACTAAGACCGTTTGTACGTATTTAGGCCAAAGGGCTGCTTCTGCCTGCTTATGATTTTTTTTATGATTATGAATTGCGACGAGTTGAATAAGCGATGCGTTCATCAGGTACCCGGTTAAAATGATGTGAATTTGTTTGGTTAGAACAATGACACCAATGATACCCCGGATTGGGCCGAAACGCGTGAGTGGTCGTTATTGGGCTCAGTTGGGAAGCCCGCTCGCTTGTTTCTGCCGAATGGGCCACGTGGCCGTGTGGTCTTTGTCACGTACTCTTTTCCTTTGGCGTGACGTGAAATGCCGGTTAGCTCCTCTGAAAGATGAGAGGCAACAACCACTGATTAGCAAACTTGTTGGTATTGGTAAAGTTAATACTACTGCTGCTAATCTTCAGCCCGTTCGTTTCGTCGTAAACGATCGTGGATTATTTACTGCTGGCTGATTTAGTATGAGAGAAAAATAATATTCTACCTTATAATCCACGATCGTATACGAGCAAGCGAACATGCTGCTTGGGGGAACAACTATTTCCAATAGGAAGCTTACGTCTACGTACGTACTAGTATTCTTGAGTGCGAAACAGATAAGTACGAATTTACCGAAGTTCCTGAGGTAGCCTCGCGAACAGTATCAAGCTGCGCGAATGCACATCATGATGGTGAGAATGGCAGCCGTGTTACCAAAATTGTGCTAGGATCTTTGGAACGCACTGTTGCCATTTTTTTTTTCTGTCGGTGTTACTTGTGTCACACAAACAATATGGTGTTATTCTGTTAGCGTTTTCCCACACTGAAGAATTGCTGATTGCTTTATTTCAAGTAGTACGACCGTACGAGTTATTAAACCTGTCAAGTTTTCCTCTACTTAAAATACAGGACAAATTACCCAAAATTATACACCGACGTGTGCATTCAAATTCAGTATTCACGCACGTGCTTGCGTACGTAGTAGTGGTGCATCCCAGTCCCATCATCACTTCCCTTCATGGTCAATATGTTCCATGCTCATCACAACGGTACCTCTGTGGTTGGCTGGTTGCTCAGGCAAAGGTGACCTTCGTTCAGAGAAAAGAAGAACCAATTGGGTACGGTTGGACAGAATTAATTCTATATTGGAAAAAAGAACGTCCACAGACAACGTATGGAACTCATTCTCTTGTCCTGAATCATTGAGCGTTTATTACATTGAATTATTTTATATCCAGCAAGTACCGGTGACAAACGGAAGTTATATATTCGGTGTGTTTCTCTCTTACCGGCGGTACATGAAAATCACCAATGTTAGGGCCTGATTGGTTGAAGTCCAAAATTTGGTTTACTAAAACTTGGGTGAGCCAAAATTTGACATTCATTTGGTTGGCTACTAAAATTTGTCAATATCTCACAATTACCATGTCAAAATTATGGCAAATGTTCTTGCCTTAGTTTTGGCAAATTTTTCTTGCCAAATCTTGGGCCTGTCAATATTTGGTAGTCAACTAAGCAAACCCTTAATTCACTCACTCTTTTCTTTGAGATAAGAGAACAAAATTCTAGCCTCTACATAGTTGAATTCACTCACTCTTTTAGCCATTGAACTATTGTCTCGCTCCCGAACCTTTGCCGCAGGAAATAAAAATAAATTTGGTGCTGTGAATTGCTAAGAGAATTCTATTGTTTTTCAGTTTTACTGGACACGAGCCCTTCAATCATGATCTAATTTTTCCTCGAGAAACCAGTATATAATTATAAACTAATTGCCTCCCTACATAAAGGCCATGGCCTGATGGCCATGCACAGGCTATCATCTCCTGATACATTCAGCCATGCAGACGTTTAAACAACCAAGCTAACCTGTCCACCAGCAATCCTTTCCACTCACTGACATGCAGGCCCCACCCACCATGCATCAGTTTCCCAGCTACTACAAGCTGCACTCGTTTCTCGCTCCCGTTAGGACCGAGGGATATACTACAACAACACATGGAGGGAGGTTGTTAGAGCTGGCCCATAGACTACATACAGCTGGAGATCTTGATGCCGATACCGATGATTAATTAAAGAATAAAAATAAAGTAAAAAAATCATATTGTTGTTAATGTCTCGCATGGTCGCCACGGGTTGTTGGTATGTCCAGGTTGCAGCACCTACCGTCGCGATGGCGATGGGGTCTACAGCGTTGGTTGATGCACCGGGCTCACGCGCTCGCCTCGTCTCATTCAGCCTGCAATTTGCGTGGTGCGTCGCTGGTGATCGATCAGTGCAGCACTGGAGGTGCTCGTTTTTCTTCTTCTTCTTTTGGCACCCCCACCGACAGAAAGAGGGAGGAAGGGCTCTGTCGTCCCGCGTTTCTTTATTCCCTGCCTTGTCGGCTCGCATGTGTGCGTTTAGCCTGTCCGCATGGGTCATCGCCCTCGGTCATTTACTCGTTTCTTAAACTTGCCACTGATTGATCGTTCCGGTTTTGCCCCTGGTGACTGGGACTCGCTGGCTGCAGCTTACTAACAACACTCTTCACGTGATGGTGATATGATGGTTTTCAAAAAATAATGTCATGTAGACTAATTTAAACATTTGGAATTTTGTTTCGGAGCAACCAACGATGACAACTCTTCTTAGCCTCTTTACTCCTGAATTTTGCTAGATTTAAGGATTCATATATTTAAACTAAGGATTTGAACCCCTATCAAACGTGTATACTTCACAAAATTCATGTCTCGGTGTTGGACACTCCACGAATATGGAATATCAATAATCCGTGCATATACATATCCCATTATATTGAAAAAAATTACTCAATTTTCAAAAATGAAAAAACAACCCACGTACTTTTGAGATGCCACTCATTCCCTTAGCTCTCGTTAAATCCAATTGCGACTAGTCCAAATGCTTTTGATCAACAGAGGATTTACTGTTGGCAATAACCTAGCTATTGCAACTCAGGTAACTATGTTATGCTATATAAAATTTATGGTATGTATGTTTAATTCCGGAACCTTTTTTTTCAAATGATGGTGATGTGACGGTTTTCAAAAATAATGTCATGCAGACTAATTTAAAAGCAGTCATGTGTGATTTTCAGTCGTCACTTACCGTTAATCACCTATCCCTGCCCATAGTAGCTGCACAACAGGGCTAGATTTTCAGTTTTGACTACCGTTAATCACCCGTCCTTGTCCGGTTGTCGCTAAGCGAACATCACCAACATCTGTGTGACCAGGGGCATTCCCGTAAATGCACGCCGGAGGTTGAGGCGTCACATCTACTCCCTCGCGGCAAGAACCCGTCCCCGATATAACCCCACTCCCGCACCGAGGCGCGGAAGGAAGCAGCGCTGCGGAGCAGAGTGAGGCAGTGTCGTGCTGCCGCCGCAGTAAAAACAGGGGAGGGGAGGCGAGACGCGGCCGCTGCCTGCCGCACATGCTTTAAGTCCCACTCCCCACCGCCCCAGATCTCCGACCTCCTCCCCACTGCGCCCCATTCCCCCGCGGCCGCAACCGTCGCCGCCACAGTCCGGATCAAGATCGGCGGGTAGACGCCTAGACGGGCGGGCGGGCGCGGCTCTGTATCTATCTGTCGGTGGGAGACCGCGTGTGTCGGTTAGGCAGCGGGTAGGAAGGAAGAATGGCGGCGGGCGGCAGATCCGTCGCGTGCTGTGCTGCCGTGTTGCTCGCGGCCGCGCTGCTCCTCTCCGCGCCGACTACCACAGGTTCGGCACTTCTCTTCATCCGTCTCTCTATGCCTGTCCTGCTTGTGCTCGATTTCGTGAGCTGGTTAGATCCGCCGCCCGATCGCCGTTGCGCCTGATGCAACGGAGCTCGGAGAGCTGCGATGATGCTTTCGCTACGGGCGCTTCCGTTGCGCGCTGACAAATGCGGCCCCCGTTTGGTTGGTACTGTCAGTGTCGGTGGCTCCAGTGCAGCGTCGGTGGCTTCTAGTTTTGACCCCACTGCACTCCAATTCAGCTCGATCTTTCGAGCTTGCCTCAACTATGAATCCAATTCAGTAGACTTAGCTTCCTGCAACTATACATGGAGCTGCCATCTCAGGCTTATTAACCAGTGCCACTGTCTGCTCAACCTGTCGCGAACTGCTGCATACCGAGCTCCTTAGTAGTAGATCTGTACTGGAAGTGAAGAAGCTGTCCAAGATCTTACTTAATTGTAGTTCACCATTAAGGGATCTAGTTACTTTTAATTGTAGTTCACCATTAAGGGATCCAGTGCCAAACTCAAAGCGTGTGTGTGGATCTTCGAAAGTGGACCTGGAATGTAACATTGACTTCATATATTGTGTGAATTCATTATACATCCTTCTATAACTGGGATCTGTGTTTGATGCGGACCCTGTGTTTGCTCTCTGCAGAGGCTTATGATTCGCTGGATCCAAACGGCAACATCACTATAAAATGGGATATTATGCAGTGGACTCCTGATGGATACGTCGTAAGTAGAATGCCCACTCCAACAGCTGTATCTCTTTCATCTCCAGCCTAGTAGGCCCTGGTCCATTCTTTTGAATAATCCAGTTTGACCTGTACAATATAAGTTATGTAACATGGCCAATGGCTGAACTAGAAACATACATCACAGACAACAAGAACAGCATCCCAAATTTATGTCAGAAGCATGATATGCATACATGGTTACTGATTTCCCATAAAATACCTCCTGCAGGCTGTTGTCACAATGTATAATTATCAACAATTTCGGCACATCGGCGCACCTGGTTGGCAGCTTGGGTGGACATGGGCAAAGAAGGAGGTTATATGGTCAATGGTTGGGGCTCAGACCACTGAACAGGGTGACTGCTCAAAGTTCAAGGGCAACACCCCCCACTGCTGCAAGAAAGAACCAACAATTGTTGATTTGCTTCCAGGCACTCCATACAATATGCAAATTGCCAATTGCTGCAAGGCAGGAGTTGTAAATACCTTTAACCAGGACCCAGCAAATGCTGTTTCCTCCTTCCAGATCAGTGTTGGTCTTGCTGGAACTACCAATAAAACTGTTAAGGTGCCAAAGAACTTCACTCTTAAGACTCCAGGCCCTGGGTACACATGTGGGCGTGCCATTGTTGGCAGGCCGACGAAGTTTTGGAGCGCGGATGGGCGCAGGGTAACCCAAGCTCTAAGTAAGTTGCCCATATACTGAACTTTTGCATTTTACTTGCTATCAGTTGCTTATGTATGTTCTGGAGATGAGGTACAGCTACATCATATTATTCAGTGTGTTCCTATTCCTTGATCATGATTCCAAAATTTCAGGTTACCTTACTTGCCAGGTTAGTAAAAATGAAAACAATCTAACAAGAGGAATTTGTTCACAAAGGAGGAATGCTAATTGATATTTGTTGACAATAAGTTACTACTAGGCTCAATAAAATGCAGTCTCTTTTCTTTCTTTCTTTTTTGTTTGTTCTTCTCAAAGTAATATATTCTAATCGCAGATAGTCCTAGGAAGAATTCCATACAAGTTGCAGTTTGTCTAGATTTTATAGCAGAGAGGGTTCTTAACAGAGACATTCTTTATCTGCAGTGACATGGAATGTGACCTGCACATATTCCCAATTTCTTGCTCAGAAGACTCCATCCTGCTGTGTATCTCTCTCATCGTTTTATAATGACACAATCGTGAACTGCCCAACATGCTCATGTGGCTGCCAGAACCCAAGGGGGTCAAACTGTGTGAAGTGAGTTTATCTTCTTTTTAGGGTTCTATTTTTTATCTGTAAAGTTTCTAATGAATTTTATTGCATTTCGCAGTGAGGATTCACCTAATCTACAAGCTGCAATTGATGGTCCTGGCAAATGGACTGGCCAGCCTCTTGTACAATGCACTTCACACATGTGCCCGATAAGAATCCACTGGCATGTGAAGCTCAACTACAAGGAATACTGGAGAGTGAAAATCACTATCACAAACTTCAACTTCCGCATGAATTACACGCAGTGGAACTTAGTAGCTCAGCATCCAAACTTTGATAATATCACTCAGTTGTTCAGCTTCAACTACAAACCACTTACTCCATATGGGGGTGGCATAAGTAAGTAAACTTGTCTTCCTTGTAGAAATGAATAAAAATAAACCAACCTACCTCCCTACCTTTTCTGATGTAGTTTGTCTGTCCCATTTCAGATGATACGGCAATGTTCTGGGGTGTAAAATTCTACAATGATTTGCTGATGCAAGCCGGCAAACTTGGAAATGTGCAATCAGAACTGCTTCTCCGCAAGGACTCCCGGACTTTCACCTTCGAAAAGGGATGGGCCTTCCCACGCCGGGTGTACTTCAATGGTGATAATTGTGTCATGCCATCTCCTGAAAATTATCCATGGCTGCCGAATGCAAGCCCTCTAACAAAACAACCATTGACACTCCCACTCTTGGTATTCTGGGTTGCCTTGGCTGCTCTGTTGGCTTATGCATGATGAGTGGGATCAAGAGGTTTAGCAAGCTTCAAGTTGATGGCGGATTCCATGAGGTGCACTGCAACAGGTCATTTGTTCATTCAATTCCATGGTTGCACAGAAGAGATGAGGCGATGCCAAGAAAAAGTTGATATGTGTGTGTGTGTGTGTTTGTAAGTTAAAGGGCCAAAATGAATTTCTTGTTTGGTATATAGCAGCCCTACAGCACTTTGGTGAACTTAGTTACTGCAAATTAGGTAATTACAGTTGCACCTTTTGTATTTTATAGCAAACCCAGAATTTTTCATTGGATTATATGACTGCTCCTCTTGTAGTAAATGCAAGGCTTCCCTGATAAGTTTTAAACATTGGTCGAATAGAAGAGACAATGGTGATTGAGATAACTAAGTTCTGGCGTCTTGATACATTTTGCTATCTTGAGCTAAATTGCTAAGCTACAAGCGTTCACTGTTCACTGAACCAAAATTACATTACTCAAGAACATAGAACAAGAATGAGTGCAGCACTCGTTTATGTGCAACTGGAAACCACAAACCGCAATAAGAACATAATAATCAGGTTACAGAGAAACAAACGTTGCCTTGCAGCATCAATTAAGATTATAAATCTGTCATTAACCTTGGAATAAGGATACGACATAAATCCTAGCTGGCTCAAGAACTCTAGGAGCCTAATTGGTCGCGTGTTGTCACATAATACTCCCTCTGATCCATTTTATCTGGCGCAAGTTAGAATGACACGGTCTCCTAGATTACACTTGGACTATTCATTTGCTTTATATTATATTATTTATGCTTATAAACTTATAATCATTGGATAGTATAATTCCTTATGAATCAAATCATATAAAGTTTGTATTATAATAGTTAAAAATTATTACCTAATTATTGATCAAAGTTTTTAAAATTTGAATCTTAATATGCGTGTGCGCCAGATAAAATGGACCGGAGGGAGTAATAGCTTACGGCTGAGCCTCTGAGAAGGGCAAAGGGATGTTTTCCTGATTGTTGTGGGCTACTGCCTCGTTGGAAAATGTGCGGATGGGTGCTACATAATTTGATTCTTTTTTATAAAGCACACAGCATATATCCTTCAATGAAACTAGATCACAGACGTAAACTTCAATGAAACTAGATCACAGATTTTTACATTTGATACTAAAGCTGTAGTCTGGAGGTAAGTACAGAACGGCAGATTCAATAATTGATCAAACCAAAGCAACTAGCTCCATTTAAACTAGAAACAGAACCATAACAACGAATACTATATTACTGCAACTACATCATAAAAACAACAAACGAATTCATAGAAGCAACTTACCTTCGATTTGATGCAGGAACAAATGGTTCCTAACCATCCACCACGAAGAAAAAACCCAGGCCTTCATGGTGCTGCTGCTCTGAAGCCTCGGAGCTCAGAACAGGGCATATGCCACCCATGGCCTGGTATATATATCCATAAGAAACCATAGATGTAGTGCAGTCTAAGGATGGGCTGATGGTTCGCCCGTAGCTTTTGGTTTGTTGGCTGGTTAGTTCAAAGCAAACCCCACCTTGAAGCTCATTACCCTCAATCCTCACCTTCCACATGTTGGCTTTTGCTACTCCTTTAAGCAATGCCATCCATCCAAGTGCACCCTTCCAGGTTACTCAAGATAGATGAGAAACTTCACCAGATCTTAACAGGCGATGGTGAAATACTTGCAATGAAAGAACAGAATGATCAAAAGAGGGACCAGCTAACCTTCTGAAATCTACAGCCCAACCATCTGCACCTTATTCAAGATTTAGACAGTTTATTAAGGCAATTAAATGGAAGAAATAATTGTGCAGATGTGATGACTGTTGATATTTAACAAGCAGTAGATAAATAAAGCTTCCAATAAATCTCCGGCAATTTGGCTTCATACCTTTTGAATAATGCAAAATAACAGATAACACGAAATTCAGTTGAGATAAAAGTAGAAGATTGAATGCCAATCCATGACATTCAAAAGCATCAAAGGTGGAATGGAACACATTTACGCATGAAAGCATTACGGTTGGTTCCAAGAGTAATAAATCCATCAATTGATTGTCATTTCGACAAAATAGTGCCATCAATCAGGCAAATGTTTGCCTTTAAAGTGTATAAGAATCGAACATCATAGTATATTTTGGTTCTGGATAGGAGTACATATATCCGTCCATGCACCATGGGTTGATCCCTCTAAAAAGGATCATCTGCCCAAGCTCGGCACATCAACTTTCACTTCCTTCGCGCATACAATATGGCAATAACAGCTGATATCCCAATTACAGCTGCTGGGATTGCCCAGTACTGCACGACTTTGTCCATAACCTTGCTGGCAAATCCCATGTCCTGTTCCTTCCTGAAAACCTCCATCTCAGGAATCTCAGGAGTTGGGTCCAACTCTCCAATGAAGTAGTCCTGCATTAGCTCCTTGGCACTCTTGCTGTGCCCTGCATCATCAAATTCTTCTGTAGCATCCTTACCTTCAGACAGAATGACACCGAGTCATACAAACCATAAAGAAACTAATAATACCACATGTCATAAATCTGCATATTGACCAGCAGACAATGAGTTTATGTAGCGATAAGATCAGTGCAACATATCTCAATTCTACTTGACCTGAAGCATCAATTGATGCAACTGTGCTGGCAATTAGTGAGGAACTGGAGGAAATTCTGAGACAGCACAATCAATCTACTAGCTAGTCTACCACGCCCTCCCAATCTCCCTACCTCACAACCAGAGTGCCGCTAGTATTGTATAGGCAAGAGTACGTGCACAACAAGCCGCACACGATAGCAAAGGCCTCCCAGGCATTCCATCGAACACGTTGCGAGAGAAATCGCATCGGAACTCGAACAGTATGTTCTCACTCTCCCCTCCCACGCGTTTACATCTCTACCTACCACTTCATACCTACATACCTATCTACAGAAAATGGCGGATGAGAGGGCGATACAGTGGCGCTACCTTGCCGTCGACGACGACCCAGCAGTCGTCGGGCGTGTTGTGGAGGGCAGCCTCCTCCATGCTGTACAGCTTCGTCAGCGTCGGCATCGCCGTCCCCTCGCGGCTCCCCTCTGTATCAACCTACTAATCGAATCGGCGAAGGCAAGGAGGCGGCGAGTAGATTATATGAGGGGGCAACGACCGCCGCGGCTTGCCGGGGAAGAAGAGAACGGTAGCAGGCTTCACGGCTCGGGACTTGGAATCCTCGCCTGTGCTGCTGCTATCTTGCAGCGGAAGAAGAACAAGTTGGAGGCGCGGGGTTATGGGAAGGCTACAGGGTACTTGCCGTCAGCTTTGGTGGTGGTTATCTTAGGCCGCTAGGGTTATTTTTGCCCTCACGGCCCATGGGCTGATCAGAAATCGTCTGTAGACATACCGTGTTGAAGTCCAGTCCATCTAGCTAGCACTGATCAGTTCTCTCTCTCAAAAAAAAAAAAAAAACACTAGCACTGATCAATAAATAGACAATGATTGTTTCTCAGTCAGAAAAAAATGTAAATAGACAACGATTGTCATGGCTAACATTAGTAGCATCACAAAAAACTCTCCCTCACATACGGGTACACGCTACGATTATGGAGGTCTTATAGAACTGTACCAAGAAATCCTAAGATTAAAAAAGTGATGACGATAGACGTGTCATTATTGATGAGTATAGACACTTACCTCTAAAAGAAATAGATGTACTTACCTCTAAAAGAAGTAGCTATGTTAGTGGCAGGCTGGGCAACTCGATTCCACGTTTCCTGCTATTCTCTAAAAAAATCAATGGTGGATCAGCTCTGCCTCAAAAGAAATGTGGAGCATCTTTTTCCTTTAAAGTAGAAGGCTTGTTCCTCCATGTGTTGGTTGCTTTAGAAATGGATGCTTGGGATGGAGTGAGTTTAGGCCCGTTTAGATCAAAATTTTTTTGGATTTTGGCTCACTGTAGTATTTCGTTTGTATTTGGTAAATAGTGTCTAATTATGGACTAATTAGGTTCAAAAGTTTCGTCTTGCGATTTCTCACCCAACTGTGCAATTAGTTTTTTTTCGTCTACATTTAGTACTCAATGCATGTGCCGCAAGATTCAATGTAACGGATATTGCGCAAAATTTTTTGGAATCTAAACAAGCCCTTACTCCCTCAGTCCCCCAATAGAGTGCCATCTTTAACTCTTTTAGGATGAAGTGAGTACAACTAAAGTAGTCTAGACCCTTAGTATATAGACTCATATCCATGTCCTCTTTCACACATGCTCTTTCATCTGTCTTTGCATATTTTTGTGGCCATTAACATGAATGGAGGGGTAGTTCCTGTCTTTGACCATAAATCTAGATTATTCCCAGCTTACTAACATAACATAGATGCATATTTTCACACACACTTATCCTCTAGACATGCACAACACGCTTATCTGACAAGAGTCGCGTGGCCCAAGCAGCACACCTGTGGTGTTACAAGCTTAATTAGCATCACGATTTAGGTCTAAGAAAATTTCTGAAGTGAGTTTCTCAGAATTTTTGATTTAAAACGTACTTGATGTGATAAGTGAATCATGTGTGACTTAGTTTTATGGACTCAAATAAATGTCCAAGTAGTGCGTAAAGATATTTGGGAATATCGAACGACAATTCTAGCCAATAAATAGCGAACGATTTGTTCTATTAGATCAAGTAGGAAAAACAACTTTTATAAATAAAATAAAATACATTAATAAATAGAACGACATATATATATATAGCCTTGGTCTAGTGTTTTTACGTATATACTCGTTTTAGTCCCTACAATAATTTGGTAACGTACCCGCGACAGCTGTGCGTCTAGCCGCTTCATAAATTCAAGTGATGGTGTGAAATCACGAACTGACGAGAGAGAGAGAGCGCAACAGTTTCATTTATTTTCCTGGCGTGCAATGTACTCGCCTGGCATTACAACTATGCGCCGTCTCGTCCATGCCGCTGTTGTCCTACGACCGGCGCCTTGTGCGAGCATTCTTTGTTCTTTACGCTGTGGCCGCCTTTTTACTGTAAGAAAGATGGCCGGCTGGCTTGCTTCTCATCGTCGTCGTCCGTCCGTCGATCTGCAAAGTTGCGAAACACGCTACCGTATCCGGCGTTAGTGAAGTTGGCTGGTCACTCACGTTGTTTTCTTCCTTCTTTTCTATTTCTGCTGCCTCGGTCTTGTCTTGCCTGGCTCTCTGCTCTCTGACCTTGCTTGCCTTGCCTGCCTCTGCCTGCTGCGGCCTTGTCTCTGTCTGCCTCGGCTTTATCTGTGCGCTGCCCCTACGTTCGCATCCAAGTGGAGGCCGAATCCTCAGCGCTCGGCTCATAGCGTCCGCTCCCTTGCCGGCACGCCGCACCACCGCATCGCCGCGCCGCACCTCCCTTCCTCGCTCGTGACCGCAGCTTCTCCCCGACATTGCCTGCTGCGCTGCCCCTCCTGAGCCGCGTTGACTTGCGTCGTGCTGTCTTGCGGCCACACTGAACCGTTGCTTCTTCTCCGTGCGCGCGAGCACTGGCCCTCCTCTTCCTTCCCCGCTCTGGGCCAGCACCATGCGCCTTCCGCTCCCGTCGCAGCTCCGCCTTCATTGCCCAGTGCCACAGCCGCGCGCAGCTCCGCCTTGCCCCCGTAGAGCACCAAGCACCGCGCGCGAGCGTGCCGCACCACCGCGTGGCCATCCCCGCCGTCGTCCGCCCGGCCCGCCTGCTGTTGATGCCCCCGCGGAGCTCCGCCCGGTCCACGCGCCTCCCGTCCGCAACGCCCCCACCGCTGCACTAGGCCGCCCTGCTATGGTCCGCGTGCGGCTCTGTTTCACCTCCGCCGCCGTGCCGTGGGCCGCCGCAGGCCGTGTCGTCGTCGACCACGTGCCATCCGGGTCTGCTGCGCAGCCCCTCTGTGTGCCATGGCCGCCCACCGCTGCCCCGCGTGTCCTCCGGTAGGCCTTGCCGGGTTGCACCGCCGTAGCCCGGTGGTCGCTCACGTGGGTGCGTGGCCAGGCTACCTCGGGCCGCCCATGGCCATGCAGCCAGCGCCCATGGGAGCGGCTGGTGCCCTCGCTGCCCCTACACACCGCCTCCATCGCCGTCGTGCCTTCCCCGGCCCCGTAGCGTCGTTGCCGCCGCCGCCGGCCGGTGGCTCTGCTCTTGAGGAAGGGAAAAGGTGAGGAAGCGCGAATAGAAGTCTTTATCGGGTTCATTTTGTAAAAAAATGCTAGACTCATAGGTTTACAAATAAGGGTGTAGTTAATTTCAGGTAAACTTAAGGGCCCTTTCACAAATGTGTCGTCGCCGCCTGCGCCGCACTAGGCCACGCTCGTCCACGCGTGGGCCGGTCTTCCGCGCTGGGCCGCTCGAGCCCCGTTTCCACGATGGGCTGCGCTCGCCGTGCCTGGACCGTGTGTCTGCGTGGGCCGCCGGCCTCCTCTGTGGGCCGCGCGTGCCGCGCACCCTGTCTGGGCCGGCCATGTGCCGCTGGGCTACGCTTGGTCGGTAGGCCGCGCACGTGCGCCTGTGGGCCATCCGCGCCGCCTGCCAGCGCCTGGGCTACGCGTGCGCCTTCAGGCCAGGCCGGTTCACCGGCCGTGGGCCACAGTACTCCTTTCGTTTTTCCAAGGAATTAGTGAAGATTTCATAATATAAATTCTGAGCTGATTTTGTTATTTAAATATAAAATCATTTAGGAGTCCAAAAATTATGAAACTAATTGTTATCTTCACATAGTTTGATAATATTCTTGAAAGCTATATAATTAATTTGAGATACTTAATATTGGAAAGATATAAACTTGTAGGGTGATGGTGTTGACTCTGAAAATTTTACAGTAAATTACTAATATTATTAGCTGCTCACTGTAAATTTTGTAGGTCCATAATAATTAGTTTACTAGGTAGATAATGATGCCATATTTTGAATAATGATTAAATCGATAGAATGAAATAAAGAAATACATTGGAATTGTATAACTAAAACAATTGTTGGGAAATAACGTCTTATTCGACAACATGGATATGTAGCCTAAGTACGGTTACCGTTAGAACTAGCTCGTTAACTCGAAAGGCGTAAATCGTAGTTTACGAGTTACGATTGCAGTTGATTAATTACATCTTTGCATTGCATTGCATTGCATATCATAATAGGGACGTCGATGGATCACGGAGTCATCGGGAGTTGCTAGAGAAATGGTGCTTTTAGAGATCATTTCACCATGATGGAAAGCTAACTTCTGAGTATATTTTACCCAAGCAAGCCCCGGTGTATAACCCCTATTTTGCTGCACTTTAAATTATAATTGTGCATTAAGTTTTAAGGAGTTGAATGAAACACACTTGAATATATATATATATATATCTTTATCTGATGAGTCTTACTAGTATTACAGGTGTAGAATGCTATGATACAGGACTCTGGTAGATATCGAGTGATTGCATGTCACTCGCAAGAGATAGGAAATATATTACTGTATTATTATCACTTGGAAAATATAATTGGTGGAAAGAAAAAATGGTGATTGGACAAGGATATAGTTAGGATATTGGTGGGTGTAAGAGGTTGTGTCGTCGCGAACACATGACATAGCTTGGTTACACTGCTTTCCCTGTCTGTGTCGGTTAAGGACCGGCCGTTGCATAAGGCACTAGGCAAGTCACAGACTTATTATCCCGAGCACATACTTGGGTATGGGCGCTTGGAAGACTTGTTGCTATCTTGTCGTGGATCCGACTCTTTCTGGACCGACTATAGGGTGGTTTTTAGGTTAGGAGGTCCTTGAACCGCACTGAGTCCGGGACTCAGGGGCGAGGGCTTGGAGTCCCAGTTTGGACGAGGACCTGGACACCCAGGACAGGAGAGTGATGGGTTGGTCCTGCTTGTGCCTTGGGTACAAGCGGGGCGTGTGTTTTCGGGGTACCCAGCTGGGGGCATTGATTCACGAATCACCGGCGTTGCGGTACAGCTTGTCTACGGTTTAGCATCATAGTAAGAACTGAAAGATGAAAGATAGAAAAAGGAAATATAATTGCTTACCATCTGCTTGAAAGTAGCATAGGTGCTTACATAGAATGGTTAGTT